CATCATTACAACCTGCCAGGCAAGCCATGGAACCAATATCTATCACGCTCCTACTGTAACTGTTGTGGTTAGGCACCAATCCGTCCCATATGGTCTACTGCCCCACTCACTCTGGGGGAAGGAGATACGAGCTAAATCAGCGGTTCCCAAACTGTGGGTCGCGTACATTTTCCCAATTTAAAAAAATCACTATATCCACATCCGCTCAGGATAAAATATGCCCTGCAGAAAAGGTCGATTACTTTGAAAATACCTCGTTCTGGATTCCGGTGGGTCGCGAAATTTTCTGAACGTCACCAAGTGGGTCGCGATTGAAATAAGACTGGGAACCACTGCCCTAAATCACCTGATGTGTTTTTCTTCTTCTTCTTCTTCCTATCTTCCCACCGTTTCTGTTTAAACCATCATTGAAAGCTTGAATTGAATTTTTATAACTGTTTAGTTATAAAGTTAGTTTTAATTATTTAAGTTAGTGTTCAAGTTGAGACACTTTACAAATGCAAAGCCCCGCCCATCATTCCCTTGAAAATTTTTATAAATAGTTTTAGAAAGTGTTGCAAGACCCAATATTAAGAGGGTAAGAAACATACCCAATTTCGTTAGTCTAGATGCTCGCAGAGCAATTCAATTTCCACACGTGGAAATTGAATTTTGTAACGGGGGAGGGGTTGAAGGAAGGTAATAAACATTACCAATTTAGCATTAGCCTATTGATTAGACAACTCTCAATAATTCTGGGACATTGATTTCTTGACTGTGGTTCAACAGAATGATGAATGAATCCCTCCAAATCTCACATTAACGTGATTTCAATGCATTCCCATTATTCTAGACAGAGGTAACGTTGATCTAATGCTGAATTAAGGTATGTTTCAATGTTCTTGGGACCTGGAGTTTCCGGTCATGCAGACCATTCACTCGCTGAAACCTCCTTCCCTCCTCCTTTCCGAGTCCTCGTTGTCAGAATTGGCCAGCGTCTCGTTGGGCTGGGTTGCCCCTTTCGTTGAATGCATCTAGGAATTCCGATGTCTTCCCTTTTCTTCCGTGGGATCGAGTACCGTGCGCTGGTGACTTATTCCAGTAGCCCGTACAGGTACCTGAATTGGCGAATTTGAACGCCATCTCACTTAGGTTGTGGGCAGCTTGTTTTTCTCGATTGAATGGCTGGATGACTCACTTTGACGTCGATTTTTTTGTAACATTGATATGACCTTGAACATTCAACTGATATGCAACACGAATTCGACGTTCTAGCAATATTTCTCATGTTCTAAAATTATTTTAATATATTGACAGCATATTCATATAGGCCAATGAGCCGGTATCTTGTTTAATGTATCGTACTCGAAGGAGAGATATTCTAAAATTAAAGTGACACCGGATGAACACTTACATAGTTCTGATCCCGGGTAGGCATTGGAAACCTAAAGCAGGTGACATTTAAATCAATATATATATTAAGAGTGGTGCAAGATATAAAATAACGGTTTTTAAAAAGTTTCCTATCATGAGTTCCCCCACATCACTGCCAATTTTCATGAAAATAGGATAAGGGCGAGCTCACCCTCTGGTTACTTTGTTGGGCTAGTGGCTACTTGTCACCACCCTGGACAACCTCCAAAGGACAACCAAAAGGACAACAGCCTCTATTGCAAATGGTGTTTAGATTCAGCTTTTGAATTTGAATTTTGAATTTTGAATTTGTAAAGTGTCTCAACTTGAAAACTAACTTAAATAATTAAAACTAACTTTATAACTAAACAGTTATAAAAATTCAATTCAAGCTTTCAATGATGGTTTAAACAGAAACGGTGGGAAGATAGGAAGAAGAAGAAGAAGAAGAACACATCAGGTGATTTAGGGCAGTGGTTCCCAGTCTTATTTCAATCGCGACCGACTTGGTGACGTTCAGAAAATTTCGCGACCCACCGGAATCCAGAACGAGGTATTTTCAAAGTAATCGACCTTTTCTGCAGGGCATATTTTATCCTGAGCGGATGTGGATATAGTAATTTTTTTAAATTGGGAAAATGTACGCGACCCACAGTTTGGGAACCGCTGATTTAGCTCGTATCTCCTTCCCCCAGAGTGAGTGGGGCAGTAGACCATATGGGACGGATTGGTGCCTAACCACAATAGTTACAGTAGGAGCGTGATAGATATTGGTTCCATGGCTTGCCTGGCAGGTTGTAATGATGGAGTACCAATGATTATTACATTTTTTGTGGACCTGGCACGCATTCAGAGGTAGAATTTTCCTTATCATGCCGAAGCAGGATTTTTATACTAAAGAGTTGCTCCGTCTTCCTTCGAATATGGCCAGATATGAAATTATATTTATGAATGGGTAATATAACTTCTTTATAACTTTTGCGCTGGAGAAAGAAGATAATTATGGAGTAATACTCTTTCAATTGACTTGGCTTGGCTTGATTATATTTTCACTTACCAGTATCTTCAAAATAAGATTCAGTATGACGTTGGAGAATATATTGTGGCTTGTCCATTGTTGAAAGCCACGAAATTTCTCAAGGGAGTTGGTGAGGTGGTGGCGCACGAAAAGAGTCGCGAAAGAAGAGGAAAAGGAAGAAATAATTCCTCGTTGGGAACAGGACTATGCACTCGCGCCGGTCTCACAAAATATGGTNAAAAGGAAGAAATAATTCCTCGTTGGGAACAGGACTATGCACTCGCGCCGGTCTCACAAAATATGGTACTCTTTAACGAATACCTTGAGATGGGTGAGTGCACGAAATTTGATTCCTGATGCTGCTCCGCATCATTTTATCGCATTGCGTCGTCTGGGACTTTGTAGTGATCCAGTTCGGGTTTGTGACTCTGTTTGTGGCAGCATTTTCACTGGCCCCACTCTTTGCCCTGCTCAACAACTTGGTGGAGCTACGCCTGGACGTGTATAACTTCGTCTGCAATGAGAGACGCGTCACGTCGAAGCGCGTCCAAGACATCGGCGCCTGGTCTGGCATCCTCAAGGCCGTCACCTACATTGCAGTTATTTGTAATGTGAGTGCAACTCGCTCCTTCTTTCTACAACTTAGTTTGGGATGAATGGTGCTGTCAGCTGAAAAGGACAACATTCATTTTGATTATTGATAGAAATTTCAATAATAACATGAAATATGCTGACAATTCTCTGTGTATTTTGGAAATGCCCGCCACTTTTCAAGACAGAAAATTTTCAGAATTCCAAAGATGCATCTGATGAAATGGATGAAACGGTCAGAGCAGAAATAACTTTGCCAAGGAAGTTGCAAGAGAAAAACCACAGATCTCGTTCACTTGTGTTGAGTGGAAAAGATTTCATGGATGTAAGACATTTTCAATTTTGGCAAGATGTATTGTTTTTTCAAGAAGGAAAAACAAAAGTGAGCACTTTTTTTCGATAAGATAAAGTAGACCGCGTGCAACAATCACGCATTTGGCATTCCAATCCAATTGTCTGAACCTTAGGGACACCCAAGATTTTCACCCTGCGGTGTTGTAGCCTTCGGGTGCCGGCCAGGGTTTTGCGAGTGCAAGAAACCTTAGACGAATGTGAAGTACGACTCAGACACGAGCTGCCACGCTCTCATAACTTGTATCTTTCCTTCCTTAAATAACTGTCACACCCTCAGCATCCTTCAGCAATTCTGCCCCCCCCCCCCCCATCTGACTTGGTGCACGCGCGTGTACCATGTGGATGTTCCCCCCCCCCCCCCCCCCCCCCATCTGACTTGGTGCACGCGCGTGTACCATGTGGATGTACCCAATAAGCATATGGATGTAAATATAAGAAGCTCTTGGTTCCTTGTCCAATTCAAACGTCATGAGAAAATCTCTTGAAATGACGACATTCTATGAACTCATCGTCGATGCTATAAGTATATAAACTAAAGTCAATTACACACTATGTTGCTAATCATGGGTAATCATAACGTCATCCTTTAACCTAAGTGGCAGTCCTTAGGGGAGACAGCGCCCCCTTCCGCGACGACCTACCGAACATCAATCGTGAGAATGAGCGAATCGCGGCGATTCCTCTCGGAAAGATGCGGAAAATCGCGAAGCTGCTTCGCTAAATATTGGGAGTGTGTGAGCACAATTTCTGGAGTACTTGAAATTTCGGAAAGTGTCACAGCCAATGGTGTCCAAAAGCCGCATGCTTCAGAAGTGGGCGCACAAAACTTCTGAATGGAGCCGAATAAACGAAAGCGAGGGGAAACGACTCCCTTAACTTCTTCGAATGAGCTCCGAGCCGAAATCAGAAATTCAGATCCTTCCCGAATCACACAGCTCTTCAGCCGAAAGTAAGTGTCCGTCAGTGGGTTCATGATTGGAGTGCATATATATATTTTGGCTGCAGGTACTCCGAGAAATAGGAGAAATTTCGCGACTGTATCTCATCCTATTGGATCACAGCACAAGAAAGTCCAGGTTTCTGAAACCTACCATTACTACATAGTATACTATGCAGTAAAATGGCAACATCGTGCGAAATTGAAATGTAACCCTTTTGAAAATGTATCATGGGGATGATTGATCGTGATCATTGTGACAGTGATTCTAATTTTGTCTCTGTTCAGGCATTTGTGATTGCATACACAACGGACTTCATTCCCCGCATGGTGTATCAGCTCAGCCATTCCTCGAACAAGTCCCTCGTAGGATTCGTAGACGCTTCTCTTTCAGGTGAGACCATTTAAGGTGGCAATTAGAAAACCCCCCGTCCCCCTGACTAGCGGGGATGTGACGGAAACATGATATTTAAGGCCCATCTAATTGATTTACTTTTCCATGTCTCAGGTTTTATGGGGTTTGCATTGTTGCACGTTTTAGGCTGAAGGATTCAGAGAAGGTTCGCCACGTTACCGAAATTGGTGATGTCGTTTGCCCTTTCCCTCTTTGCAAGACAATAGAAGTTCGGATGTGGTCGGCGAACTCTGAATCATTTAGCTTAGAAGGAGCCTTGTTGCAAAATCAGGAAAAAAAACTGCAAGATTTAAAGATAGCACTGCAAAGTCGACGACTAGAATAGGATAATTACTTTCAGGTGGACTACCACGTCACTGGTGGCTTGTGGGTCTGGTTGCATCTATTGTTGCCAGCCCGTACACTTCTCAACAAGTCAAAATCATACGAGAACTGCAATGAAGTGCAATATGTTGGCACTCTTTTCAATGTTCAACACCTCGGATTTCCAACAGGACTTTCTGCCCGATGAGTACAGATATTAATACAACCGTAGTAACATTCCACCGACATGTCGCTATCCCGGATACCGCGAACCTCCCAATTCTCAGAATCCCTATGGCTACTCGGAGTTTTACTGGCACATCTTGGCGGCTCGACTCATCTTTGTAGTCGTCTTTGAGGTTAGCAAGTCTTTTTCATCAAATGACATCATTTAATGGAAAATATCATCATATCTTCTTGCAATCTCTCCAAGTGAAAAGTTTCAGCGTTTTCCGTCCATTCTGAGTTCAAGCAGTATGGTAAATAGCATTTCTGGCTAATGCAAATACTGTACAGTATACTGCCCTCCAAAAGTCTTGCAACACTATTGGGGAGAGAAATTCTCAGCATCTATCGCATTTTCTGCAGAAATTGTTATATCCTCAGACAACTTAATCCGCTATCTTTGCAAAGCGTCCACTCGTGTCATGATTTGTGTCAGCGTTTATCAAAATTTTGACTCAGAATCCGTCTAGTTCGGTTTTTCAGTGAAGAACGATTAAAATCCGTCCCAAACCGATTGTTGAAAAGTCTGCTTCTCATCTTGCACGCCGTGAGAAGCACGTTTTCTCTATGGACTTAAAGGAAAAGACGCTCGTCAGCGTCCTCCATAACCCTTGCCAGTTCTTTTTCCATAATATAAAGAGATATCAGTGACATCAAGAGAGAGAGAAAAAAAAAAAAACAAGTTCTTTTGATAATATATTTTCTTAGCTGTGCAAAGCTGTCATTACCATCAGGGTTTGAGCTACCATGTCCTCAAAATTTCGACCATTTCTCCCATCTTGGCATTAATTTCTCAGTTGTGGGTATGACTATTGATGGTTACCTGGAAACCGAGTAGTAACCGAGAGTAGATAGATTTTGTATCATGAAAAAAATGGCTAGAATTGTGTTGGGCACTGACAGGACGTGAAGGACGTGTTTCTCACATAACGTGCAAGAGTAAAAGTCGGCCTTTCAACAATTGGTTGGGGACGGATTTCAATTGTTCCAAGAAGAAAAACTGAACCAGACGGATTCTGAGTCAAGTTTTGGACAAACAAGGACACAATTCATGAATGGGCACTTCGCAAAGGTAACAGAAACGGTCCGAGGATATCAAAATTTTCGTAGGTGATGCCATAGCTGCTGAGAATTTCGCTCACGAAAAAAGTGTTGCAAGACTTTTGGAGGCCAGTATATACGAATACATGACATGACTACTTAAAAAATCACGAATTGCTTATGCAGTCATTAGAGCGGAATGCCAGTGTCGAAACAGAGCATAATACAGGCATAACTCGCATTTTGTATTTCAGCATTTTGTATTTGCAATGACGTGGTTCCTGGCCTCTCTCATCCCGGATATCCCGCGGTCGGTTAAAGTGCAGATTCAGCGAGAGAAGCACCTTGCTCGACAGGTTTGCTTCTTCCATCTGGTCCATTCCGTTCTCCAATGTTTAAGGAAGAGCTTCACGCATGCGTCGAAATTTTCCCTTTTGAATAGCACATGATCGACACCTGTTCCCTTAAATTGCTATTGCTGGAATCAAGAAGGAACGCAAAGCCTGCTGAGAATCAAGCAAATTTTTTGCAATAACAGAAATTACTTCAGATTTGATTTTCATGAGACCGAAACCATACTGAACCGAATTTACCACAGATTTTCAGATTGACAAAAATTGCAGAGGACTGTAATGTAAATTTCGTCGGATACAGAAATTTTTCCTTCCTCACGAATGACTAAGATCAAAAATTATCTTTGAAACAAAATGAAAATACAATAAATTTTCTTTTTTGCTCCAATTCATCTCCAAAATACGCTACAACCTATACATATGTTTACATCCACTTTCTTTTTTTCCCAATTAGAAAACTCATTAGACACTAAATGACACAGGAGAAGGCCTGTTTGGGGCAGGGTTCACTGCACCTGATGCTTGCTAGAAAATATGCACCCAACGAGTGTCATGATTCTCTCCAAGCACTGCACCTTTCGCTTCTTAGTGCTCATGTTAGCGAAGGAATTACTGTTTCGATCAGGCCCAGTTCGATACGGAGAAGAAGAAGTTCCAAGCCCAAAAAATGGAAAAGGATGCAGGACTGCCTCCGGCCCAAGGCGTCTCGTCGCCCCTGTCGGCTCGGTCCCTGCGCTCCCCCTCGCCGATCTTGGTCCTCCCCGAGGAGGTGGAAAATGCCTCTCGCACCTCGCTGCAGCCGCCGCGATACTGACAGCTTGCGTTTCGCTCTAGACAGAACGTTGAAACGGACCTTTCGATGGTGTTTTACATCTCGAGAGGCCGACTACCGGTAATATTTTGAGTAAATTCCTAGATACATACTTGTTTACATTTCTACTTTTCCATGAAGATCAAAAAGTAAAAATCATCCCTTGAAACTAAATTATTTTCGAGAAATGGAGAATCTGTGATGTATAACGAACTGGAAAAGGTAAAACGCTCATTGACAACAACGAGAGGACCATAATTCAATCTGAAGTGATATGCCATAATTTTCCTGTGGTAATCATAGAAGTGCCTTTCTACATCTCTTATTTTCATCAAGAAGGAAAATAT